ATTATATATGTATAGAAATGCGAACATTTTTGTGAAAATTTAATTTTTTTGACATCGGTTTTTTCATATACTTTAAGAATACGCGATGAAATTTTTAAAAAAAATTTGGAACGAATTTTAATTAATAAAAAAATTAATAAATTTAAATTTGAAGAAAATACATTAAAAATTACGTAAGATATGAGCATTTAAAGTAGTTCTTTCATATTGCAGATGCGTGAAAAATGTGTCGCATAATTTTACAGTAAATCATATTTACTAACTAATGAAAAACGTAGAGTTTGAATATTTTGAAAATTTCAACTTTTTTTAGCAACTTTCTTAGTAGTTTTTGTACTTTTTTCAAGAAAACTCTGAATAATAATGAGTTTTACAAAATTTATTAGAAATGACACCGGCATTATTGGAGATCATCCCCCATTTAATTTTTTTTTTCCTTCACGTGTTTACTTTCCTTATATCATCAAAATTTGGTGTAGGGACGATTATTGCAAGGTATTAAAATTTGTTATTAAATTTTGTCTCATGCATACAAAATGAATTATGTGAAAAATCCCTTACCATTCAAAGTTTCTTTTTTTTTTTCAGAATATACATAAACTACTTAGAAAATTGCTTGAAACTTTTTAAATTTTCAATATATTCAAACCAGATTTTTTTCCTCAGTAATAAATACCACAAAATAATAAAAAAAAAATTTAAGTATTTTCAGCGCATGCGCAGTGCGAAGGAACTAGTTTAAATGCTCAAATCTTTTTTTCTTTCCCTCATATTTTAAAATGATAATTATGATGTTAACTAAAAATTGCTGTAAAAATGTCTTGATTAATTTTGTTAAATGTTTTTAAAGTTATGGCAAAAAAAAAGAAAAGAAAAAAATAACCTAAGACTAAGTTTTTTTTTTAAATATCCGTATCTCCATAAATGTTTAAGTTAGGTTTACGAAATTGTATGCAATTATTGCATTCAAACTGTTAGCTATGAGAAAAATCATTTACTGTCTGCTTTCTCCTAATACAGACAGAATTTATCCGCTCAAACTAGGCGCCAAGAGCCAATGAAAATCGAACACATTTTTTTCGATAGCTGGAAGCTGAACCATGTGATAAGGATTGCGAATTCATATTTTTATTTACCATCATCGTATGTCTAATTATCTCATGGTAATAAGTGTGTGGCGAACACCTTATAAAGCCTCTTGTTCCTTTAAGCTGGGTACATACTTTTACCGTGAGGACAAATCTGTCGATTTTATGATCCACTGAACGGGGGTTCGAATCCCAGCTTTAACACCGCAATATTTTCTCCATTCCTTCAACACATGTAGAGTTTCTAGTATTCTGAACAATTCAATTGATGACCCCGAGTTATTGAAGTACTAACCTCTCATCCACGCTACTCAATACCAATGAGTTCAGTATTTTCTATCTCTCACGATAGATGGCACCATTAGAGAAACAAATAAAACAAATTTCATAATTAAAACATAACAACAAATTACATAATTAAAACAAATTTCACAGTTTTTACTTCACAAGACATAACCTAGCTTCAATTCTCAGTTAAATTTTATTTTAACAATTTTGAAACTATGCTAGTTGTAAATGGTTTCAAAACCATAGAGAGTTTCACATTATTGGTAATATAACCATATGAGTTGTAAACGATTTCAAAGTCATTATGGTAAAGAAATGTTCCTGATCATAAACTTATTGGTTAATTGGATAGACAGACTGCTGCCGGTTATTTTACCGTAATTTTAATATGTTAATTTTAAAAGTGTGAGAAAAGTTTATCTTCACCGATTATATTGATATAAGAACCATCCACTGTACTACAGTGTTAAAAAAAATTCACAATTTCCATTTCTTCTTTGTTGTGAAGTTATGATATTATTTGCTCGAACTTTCCTTGACATCAATAACATGTATAAGATTTGTATCTGAAATTCTCCAAGTTTCCTATAAATGCTAATCAACTAATCGCTTTTTTGTTCTTGGTATTGAGTTTTGTGAGGAATAAGTAAATTTAGTTTGTAATTTTTCTGTCAAAATTAAACACTATCAATCTAATTCATCTATCTTTCTCATCAATTGCAAGTTTTACATTACTAGTTAGTATATAATATTATTTTCCTTTAATGATATGTTTATAGAGCTTTGTTTTATGTTGAATGGTAGTTTTATGGACACTTAAATATCATCTGTGGGATGCTAGTGGCGCACATAGATGCGCGTTGAAAACCCCTAATTACATTCAATCAGTAGGATTTTGCGTCAGTGGACCCCGCTCACCCCCCTGTAAGATTTTAGATAGAAATAAAATCTTTAATTTAGTGTAATTCACATATTCTGATTTACATTAAGTATATTTTTAATCAAGAAGAAACTCTTCATAAATTTAATGAAGTATAAAATTAAAAAAACAGAAACACTAGTTAAAAATAAACATTCGAATCCAATAATTGAAGTTTTGCTGACATGATAGAAATTTTTTCTTGTTTAAGGACGAAATAAAAAGAAAAATCTTTAATTATTAACTCTAACCAACATTTAATACTCATAATTGGATCCACAAACATGCTTTTTTAATGAAAGAATATAATTTTTTACCACATCATTGTCCGAGTTGATAATATAACTTTAATATTTTGAACTGTAAAGCAAATGAACGTTCAATTCACTCGTTTTTTTTAATTATTATTATATATTTGATTTATTCGTTTTTTATTATAAAAAAAAATTCAAGACAGTTTTTGTTTAGCATGTATATTTTATGCCAAAATATAAATTTTACGAGAAACTGAATGAATAGTCCAATTTAAATAACATTTTTAAAGCGAGCCTTTTTATTTAAAAAAACTGTAGTTTAGATTCACCAAATGTCATGTATTGCTATTGCCATGTATATTTCTTTTAACTATTGATTTATTATCGTAAATAATTCTGATATTAAATTACATGAAGGTTCAAGTGAGACGCAATTGGATTTTTCTGTATTCAAAGGAACAAAAATATTGCTCATCATAGCGAAAAATGCTTTTATTTGATGATCTGATTTGAATTTGGGCCTTGAGTGTGCTTCAGCATTTCGAAAAGAATTTGAAAATTTAAAATGTACATATATATATCTGCTATGGGTGAATAATTTTGTGTCATATTGCATGCAGGAATAAATACAATTTTAACCAAGCAAACTCAGACTTTTTTTTATTTCGGAGCAGAAAAAGTTTAATAAAATATATACCGAAAAATTGTATGCGTTGTTTATAAAATTATTCAGGCTGTGATATAACCTTTTTTGCTTTTGCCTGAAACCGTTAAGGAACTAATGAAATATGTATGTATTTATAAAACCTCTCTGATCTTACCTGATAGTAAGGATTTCGTGTCTTCGAGGTGTATCCCACTCGGGTATACCTTCTTTAGGTAAACAGTGGGGGTCACGACCTCGGGGTACCCTAGTGATCTTTCCTCTTTCGCTTTCCCTCCCTTTTCTCTTACTTTCTCTCTTCTTACATTTTTCTTCTTTCTTTTTCTCCCCTTTTCTCTTACTTCTCTTATTTTATATAGATAAAAAGATAAAATTAACAAACAAATTATTTAATGCCCAAAATTAAAAAAAAATGAAAAAATGTTCGAATTTTGCCTCAAAATGAGATGATTTTACTCCAGTATTTCATACTTTTAACGTACCTTTATTAACTGCTAGGGGAGCCCCCATCCCAATGCATTTCTATAGTAACGTTCTTTTTACGATTCATCATATTTTAATTAACTGTTCATTTTTAAATTGAAATCCTCTTAAATTTTTTTTATGCATGCAAGATTGCTAAAACCCAGGATTGTTAGGACCTTAAATTTTTTTGCTCTTATACGTGTGATATTCTACTATCTGTTGTTATTTCAAACTGTTATAATGGCTTTACGATTTTATCCGATTTCATACACTTAAGTATGCATCGTATTGCTTGCGTATCCTTTCACATATTTCATGTAACTTTGCTGCATTTACAAATTTTATGTGATTTCATTCACTGTTGAATGCACCTGTTTCGCTGTGCACAGTTTTACCAATTTCCTGAAGATTAATTTATTATATGTGTTTAATCTTTTCATATGTTTAAAAATCTATTGTTTAGCACAGCATGTCCTTTTTTATGCTTTGTACCGTTGAACCCAACATTTAATACTCTTTAATTCCTAGGATTATATATAAATTAAATAGTTCACTAAAATACTGTTGGATTAACGAAATCCTTTTTTGAAAAAAACATTATGCTAGCTTTACTTTTAAAGATCAATCTGCTTCACGGAAAACAGATTAAAACATAATTTATTCAGTGAAATAATATACTGCTCGCATGAAAGATTTTATTTGAATCTTGGGAAATATTTTGGAACACATTTAGGTCCTTGAAGTCACTGTGTACAGAAAAAAAAATCTCAATTAAAATTCGAAGAACTAAGATAAAACTAATGAAAGTTTAATTATTTTTCGAAATTTAGACGAAAGTTTCAAAATACTCAAAAGAAGAAGAAAAAGAATCTCAATTGAAATTTCAAGAACCAAGATAAAACTAAAGAAACTTTATTAATCTTTCGAAATTTAGACTAAAGTTTCTAAACACTCAAATTGCAAAAAAATATAAATATAATTAATTAACCACAAGGGCCTAGGCAAACCCTTAAATAAGAATAATCATAAATTATGAAGTTGGTGAACTTCTGTTATCTATTTTAATTAGCAAAACACAGAATAAAACTGATTAACTATGTAAGTCATAATAGAGTTTCTAATACTTTGTTAATTTTCAAAAATGATTAATTCGGCTAAAATGTCATGAATATTTTAAAAATCGTCTGCAACATATCCTCTCTGTTTCATCAATTCTCAATAGAACTAATTTTACAATAATATATTCCGGCACTCCCAGCTATTAATCAACTATCGTTATCTCATGAGCTAACATTCCTTTCCAAATGTTCGATTGAAATAAACCCTAAGGGGGTCGGGATCATAGACTATCGTCTTCAAGTGGCATTTCTGTCAATGCAGTCAGCGATATTCTGAATGCAATTAGCATCAAGGTGCATCTAAGTCATTTGGAGGCCCCTTAGGGTTTAAAACGTAAACAGTATATTTTGAACTCAATATCGGGGGTGAGAGGAACAAGGCCTGTTGCAGGTGATAATTGCGAAATGTTGAAAAGTCTCATCATGGAAGAAAAGGTTAAGGGCATGAACTTATGAGTTATATAGCCTTTGGATTACAATTCACTTGTTCTACCAGTCAAAAAGAGTATGCAACTATACTTTCTCTTTCTACTCATAGCTCTTCAGGTAAGATCTTCCTTTTTTTTATTCAATTTTTATGTAAAAGAAAAAATGAATACAACACAAATTATGAGAATTTACACGAAATATAATTTCGTTTTTTTTTTTAATTTGTTGTTTATCTTTTTTTTTTCGGTTCTGTGAAAATTTTGGGTTTGCTCTTTAATTCTCTCATTTTGATTCTTAAAGAAAAAAAATCCTTCCCTACTCTTCAGAGTATTTTATTAAAATTATTATTTTTATCTCTTTGACGCAGAGTTCTCATAAAAGTTTATTTTAAATGGTGATTTAGAGATAGTTTATATTTCATAAACATTGCACGCAGATTAGTGAACGGCGCATTAACAGCGAGTAAGTAATAAATGGCAGTGATTTTTTTTATTGGTGAGTCATTGAAAGACATTTTAGAAAATGGGCAAATCAGAGAATGAGTTTATAAGGTATAAACATTTTTATAAACCTATAAATTGTGTTACGGTAGTCGATCCCAACATTTCATTTTTTAAAATAATTGTTAACGAAATGACGTATATTGAAGGGAAAATATCTTTATTATTCAAACATGTACAATTATATTATCTTTCTATTTATTTTTTGTATCTCCAGTCCAACTCATAATATTCGTTCATAAAAACTTTTTAAAAGAAATTTTTCCAAACTTGTGAATAAGTTTAAACTATTTTTTGTTTTACAATTCCACTATCTGAAGCAAATGGTGAACGTTTTTTGAGTAAATTGAAAACTTAAAAATCCCAATTGATATATACCTAGTTAAGACATAAATACCTAATTAAGACACAAGAGAGAGTAAATTCTTTGGCAATAATTTCTATGGAAAATGAAACCACTAAAACAAATGATTTTGTAGTCTATAAAACCATTTGAGTCTGCTAAAGAACGAAAAAATAAATTTTAATGTTTTTTTATATTTCAATATGTCTTAAAAGATTATGCTCATTAAAATATTACTTATAATAGGTATTTAATCTTGAGTACTTGAAGTGTTTTTATCATTAATTAAACTAATGGCTGTTTTTTAACCTTGAAATCCTTAATTGCGATTTATCTTCTTTATATGTTTTTTAAGAAAAAACATCTAAGGTTTATGCAATATAAATTTTATAGTTTTCTGACAGAAATAATTTCTGGTTTCTCAACTTGTTGGTAGAGAATTTAAAATATTAATAGAAAATTCATACAGGATTATGACTACACCAGTGAGACAATTCAAGGAAAAAATAAATTTTTATTTTTATTTAATTCAGTTTCTTCTTCTAAAATTGGATTAAAGGCACCGTTTTCAGTATCGCCCGGAGCGTGAAAACGTATTCCGCCGGCCCAGATTACTGTATAATATTTTACGATAAAATTTTATTCTACGGATCTCAAAGGAAAAGGTACTTTATACTGCAATTTGCTTTGGAATTTCTTACAGTACAAATCTAGGCTTAACTTGTGTTTTAATTGAAATAAAAGCAATAATTTTTCACCATTTGAAAGAAAATTATTTGAATTAAATTTTTGAGTCGATAAAAAAATTATGTGAACTTTAAACTTTTTTTTGTCTTGGATTATCAAAATAACTAATACTTCTGTTCTACCGAACAGAATTTTCCTTAAAAAAACAATTGTTTCATCGATTAGAAAATCGAAATATTATGTTTTCAACTTATTTAAAATATTTTATAATAAATAACCTAGAAATGTTTCATGTATACTACCGAAATGTTGTATTTCAATAAATACCTCATAAAATCATCTTCAAGAGCGTTGAATGATTGATTGAGTATAAGGTTTAAAGGAGCAAGTGCCGGAAGAGGTTATACTTGGATTTATAATTCCCCTTACAGTTTCTTTCAAATAGTAGGAATAAAAGCCTTCAAATATATAGAGGTATAATTATAAAAATGATAACAAATATATTTGTACAAAATAAAAATGTAAAAAATGTTATTATTATTATTACGAGATTACAAATATTAGGATTTCACTAAACTAAAAACATATTTAAAAAAAGTGAAGTTAGTGTCACCAATTGCTTTTGATCTTGTGAATGTTGGACTAAACTACTTTTTTAATGATGGATATATTTTCTAGACATACATATCTAAACATTTTCTAAATCTATGACATCCGCTCCTTCAAATAAAACCAATTTTACATTAATCTTGCTTTGCAAAAAATTATACTAAAAATCATTCAGTGCCCACCATATGTAACCAGATAAACAGGTGCTTTTTTGGGGGGTTTTCTGGTCAATTTAAAAATTTTCGTTTAAAACCTAATGTGATAAATGTTTCTTAACTGATGTTTCTGAACTTATAAATGTTTCTTAACATGCACTGGTATATTCAAAAAACGAATCTCTCATTTTTTTTCAAGAAACTAGTTTCAAATGACTCCCGCGGAGAAATAAAATAAAAAAATTCTCCAATTATTCATTAAATAATTAAAATATAATTACAAAATCTAAAAAAATTAGTAAGTAAATGTAAAATAGTAATTAGGTTTGATAACCCTAACAAAAGACAGCTTCACTTGGTTCAAACCTCGGCGAACAAAGGTTCAAACTATAATCTATAACTATGAACTTGACCAAGGTTCAAACTATAATCTACAAAATTTTAAGTTAGTGCTATCTATTCTCTCGATTTTTCGACGTCTTTTTTAAAATTATGTTTAACTATCCAAATGTATAACACTCCTTTCATTTAAAACCGGTTTCAAATCAGTTTTTAAGCATGAAGAAAGACAATTAAATTGAAAAACTTATACTTCATTCTAAAATTCCAAGTAAAAAACCGTTTTATTTTCATTTGAAGATTTTTGTTCTCGAGAGAAATCTAAATTAAGCCTTGAAATATTTATAAACGGAGAAAAAAATTCAGGTAAAATTACCGTACTGTTTGGTGATAACATTTCTGGTAAAGAGAACCATAATTCTGGTAAAGAAAACCAAAATATACTGTATTTAAACCATTCATTTGATAAATTTTTCCGTTCCTTATGATAACGGTTTAAATCGTTATTTTCAAAAATATAGTTCTTATTTACCACACATTTAGTTAAAAATACAAAACTGAAAAGTATATTCTGCCGAATAAACTGTTTTTATGTCAAGCTCTAAAGAATCATGATAAAATTGCCAAATTTTACCCCATTTTCCAAATTATATCACTTATTATGAAACCATATTTTATTGTTAATTTTGCCAAAATCATTAAGTGCTTCTGTAAGTAGTACCGAGATATTTAGTGTTTCCATTGAGTCAGAAACACGGTAAATTGTACCAAATTCTTTCAGTTTTTACCATATTTTTTTCTCAATATATAAATATTTTTAAAAAGCATTAAAAAGCATTAAAAAGCATTAAGTACCGAGTTTTATAAAATGTTACACCATTTTCACAAATTAAATAAACTTACGGTTTATGCGTTTTGAATATAATATTTTCTTTATTTATGTTTCCCATATTATTCAATTTTTTATACATCAGTTATTCTATATTATTTCGACTTATATAACATTTTCTATCGTATTAATAATTTCTATATTATTGAATGTAATATTACCTGAAATTTTTTCTATATTAATATCAATTACGGAGTAATTTAAAGCAGTTACTTTTTTCTTCTAGAGCAGACTTTGTACCAAACCTAAATAGATCACTATAGTAAAGAAACGAAACAAAAGTATATAAAAAAATGTTCAGATTTGTTCAAGTTAAGCTTTGCACTTAAATAAGTTAATATAAAATTTTGGACAGATTCCTGTTTGATTTTTACAGAATCACAGCGTTACGCAGAGCATAGAAAGAATAATTGTGTTGGAACACAGCGATCGATGTGTTTGATGGTATCTCATGAGTCAGAAAGTACTCATAAAATGCGTTTTCGGTAGAAAGAAGTATTCCCTAGTACCGTATTTTATCTATCTCATTAAGCAGGCGAAACAATAGAAACAAACATCTGCAGAGCTATACAGATTAAATTTAGAAAACGAAAACAGGAGAAATGGTTCGAGAGATTTCACATTCATAGGTGGCACTATAAATTATTTCTCATAAAAGACATAACTGAAGTTTATAATCCGAACTAAAGAGCATTAAACTGAGGTGGAGAAATTTTACAAAAAAGGGATGTATGCACTGAAAATTTTAAAATAATTTAATTTAATTGTGTCATACTTTTGCGTTACTTTTTGCTAGTTTTCTGATTATCAATGATTTAAATGACATAGAAGATGAAATAGAAGTGACATAGAAGATAAAAAACAAAGATAAAATAAGAAGTTTTTTTTCAAATAATAAGCTATTCCACAGCAGCAAATCACAGTTTTAAAAAGCTTCGTAAGCATTACAAAGAAGTTTCCATTAGTTTCTTTCATATAGTCATTCATCTTTCATATTCAATTTCATCTTTCATATAGTCATTCAATTTTGACTTTGTAAACCTAGTTTAAATATTCATGAAGATATTGACATTTTTATTAAATAAAAATAAAAATAAAAACTTATTCTTTTGCTTTACGTTTTCTGTCTGATACTGAAGAAATATTCAATTAAATTAAACAAAGTCTTCAAAGTAGTTATTAATAAATAAAAAATATCATTTCATAATTTTAAAAAAAATCGTTAAAAATTGCGCTAGATATCTGCATTTAAAGTAATCCTTTCATTTTAAGCATGCGCGAAAAAAGTTTGAAGAAAAATTTTTTTCGTAGTTTTGCTCTGAATCGTACTTGGTCAGGAGCATTTGTACTTAGTACGTTAGTTGCCCTAAGCAAAACTTTGAAGCATTTAATAAGGGTTGATAGAAAATCATTTGCTTGAAAAATATATGTTAAACATTGGAATTTTTTATTGCAATCAGATTTTTTTTAAAACTCTTTTCACGTTTAACGATCAAAACTCTGATAAAATGTATAAATATTACTTGATATTATTTAACTTCAACTAAACTCCTGCAACTAAACTACACCATAGAACTAAATTACATTACAGCAAA